TTGCATCTTTATTCCCAAGAAAGTTTGCAGTTAAGAAGTTTACCCCCCAGATAAGACCCCACTGAGTTAACTGTTGTTTGTGTTCAAACATGCATAGAATAAACCTGTTAAAGAACTTTTGCTACTGAAGTAGATCAGTTCACTATTGTGTTAGGAAGTGAAGGTAGTCTGCACCTTAAGCTGGTATTTATACTGTACTTTGCTGGCTACGGATCTAATTACAGTACTCTCCACCTAAGGACTGATTTCACACACTTAGCCAGCTGAAGATTCTCTGCATGATGGAAGAATATGTGTATATGGCTTACTTTGCTATCCACATAAGGCACATGTAGACCTACTTTGCCCAGCCAGTAGGAAAAACTATACATTACTAAAGTCCCATCAATTTCAGGAGGAACTAAGTTCAGCTGATTTAGTCTGGATCCATCCTGGTATGCATTAATAATTCCTGAAAAAAAAAAATAAGGATGAGAATTTTCTTCTGTACAAGATAAACAGTCATATTATACTCTGCGTTTTGGGCATGGTGGAGGTAGTTACTGTGCAAAACTTGCTTCATCTGGCTGAGTTGTGAATGAGCCCTTAAATTGTGGGGTGGTGAACCTTCTGTCCTTCATGCACAAACTTCAGATAAATAAAGTCACATTTTGCAAGCTTTGGATGCACTCACTGCCTATTGCATAGATTCCTGAATAAGCCATGGTCGTTTTTCTAAGGATTCCCACAACTTCATTTTCACAATTCATCCTGACTGGAATGCATGGAGCAGGTTATTTAGTGAGCTGAATGGTTAACTTTATTAGGTTTTACCTGCATGGAATTTACTTTTGTATTTACTGTACTATTACAGCATATGCACTATTATGGTTGCATGTATAAATTATGTGTGTTTTTGTACAGTGGAATAGAGTGGGTAATAAAGTAGATAAACACTTTTTGGCAGTCATTTACTTCCTTTAATGCTTAGTTATTATGTTACATTTTCCTTTTACAAAGATATGTGTATTTTATAATACAGGAATGTAGTTGCACCTGTATAATGTTTGGAGAGGAAGAAAGTATGTGTCTCACATAGCAGATATTATGTTTAGTTTCCTTAATCTATGCTTATGGATAATAAAAATATATTACAGTAGCCACACCTGTCTTAGATAATACACATGGAAGTGTGTAAGGGATTATAAGGTAATATGGAGGTGGTAAAGAAACTCGGTTTTGCCAACATAGCTAAGTGTTTACGAAACCACTTTAATCATTTTGACTGGAATTTTGTGGGTGGAGCCGTCTTGAACTGATCTGGTGAGAAGTTAGAATTTTTCAGTTTGTGACTAGAGTCATGCCTGTAGTTCTAAATGATCAGCTATAAATACAAATTTGGGGATGGGACTGAAAGTGAACACCTTTGTATCTGTAAATAGATGCTGAATCAAAATGTGTTGATATTGCTGTACCAATTTGAATTGAAATAAGTTTCAGAATGAAGAAAGTACTGCAGAAAATTGTATTTGTTGCTGTTGCCAGAAAGCAACTCTTGGGATAGAAGTAGCAACCATGCGTTTCATGTTGGTTTAGAAAACTAAGTTAAAGTGAAAACTGTGTTCTCTTTGGGGGCTGGGAATCAGGCAGCTTTATTCCTCAACAGTTTACACTGAGCCCAAACCAACACAAAAATTTGAGGCTCAATGCTTAGGCTGTTAATCATGTTAGTTGTTACTTACGGGTTGACCTTTACTTCCTTTCTGCTCTTGCATTCAGCACTGCTGTAGGAACAATAAAACAGACGTGTTTTGGAGCACACTTACAGAGCATTGCTGAATTTAACCTAATTTTTCCTTTTTTCTCTCTCATTTCCCCTTGCATACAAGATGTCTGTGGTTTTCACTCATTTGTTCATCCACTGAAATCCCACCTTTACAATTGCGTTACATTTTCTCAGTGCAATAAGCCAAAGTACATACACAAAAATTACAACTGAAATTATAAATCACCACGGTGAATTCACTTTTTTAAAATCTCATTCTCAGAAATCCTGATATATTATATTAAAGAAAATGGTACATGATTATTTTGCATCCTGTTCAAAAAACCCAACTTTTCAACTCATTTCCTCCTTCCCTCTACCCTGCTGGTTGACTCACACATGGCTAACACTTAAAGAACACATTCCCATGTGAGGAATTCTATAAGCATGTTTTGAGGAGTTCATTCTTATGTCCCTCACCCAGAGGCAAGGAGGGTGGTCTTACACATCTCACTACACATCTGTGGCTATGGCTGGTTGGGGAAGTTGCCCTTTTAGACTTGAGATTAATATTCCTTGGAGGCTTGTACTGATTCATTGATGCTGTCTGATGAGTGTCCCCTTTTGCCCTTCATCCGCATGTATTGTTCTTTCTCTTTTCACCTGCCAGGCTGCTGATACACTTGCTGTAAGACAAAAGAGGCGGATTTACGACATCACCAATGTTCTGGAAGGGATAGATCTCATTGAAAAAAAGTCAAAAAACAGCATCCAGTGGAAGTTAGTAAATTTTATGCTTTTTCTTTCCAAAATAATTTTTATTCAGAAATATGGGAGGCTATTTATTGGAGCAATATGACCTATTATGCATATGTATGTTAATTTAGAATTTAGAGAATATAATATATTTTCTGCATAAATGATAACCAAAACTGTGTGAAGGAGCAATGAGTTACAGTGGTGCCTTGACTTATGAAATTAATCCATATTGGACCGGTGGCCGTAACTTGAAAATTTCGTAAGTCGAAGCACCATTTTCCATAGGAATGCATTGAAAACCGATTAATCTGTTATGGCCAAAGGAAAAAAAATTCCGGGCTTCCAAAGCTGCACCCACTGCCCTCTGCCTACCATCCCTGCGGGGACAGGAGGCAGAGGGCAATGGGGATGGGAGGCAGAGGCAGCAGAGGGGGTTTAGATGCCTGGGAAGCCAGCACCGGCGCGGAGGTCGGGGAGGCTATTGGCTTCCCGGGCTTCCAAGGCTGCACTCGCTGCCCTCTCCCTCCTGTCCCCACTGCCCTCTGCCTATTGTCCCTGTGGTGACAGGTGGCAGAGGGCAATGGGGACGGGAGGCAGAGGGCACTGGAGGGGGTTTGGACGCCTGGGAAGCCGGCACCCAGCGCGAAGGTCGGAGTGGTGTTGGAAGTCTGGGAGACTGAGCCTCCCTTTTCCTAACCATTGGGGTGAAGAAGCAGCCCCTTTGCCACCAATGGTTTGAATTCCCCGCCTTTTCCCCCTGCCTTTTTCTGTTCATAACTGGAAGCTCCGGCCGCAAGTCGAAGCAAAATTTTGTGGCCTGAGCTTTTTGTAACTCGAAATTTTCATAAGTAGGGACGTTCGTAAGTCGAGGCCCCACTCACTGTACAGGCACCCTACCCAAAACTTTGTTTTCCTGTTCCCAAAAAAGTTGTGCCTCTGATGATTAAATATCAGTGCTAGACTGAGCCTCCCTTTTCCTAACCATTGGGGTGAAGAAGCAGCCCCTTTGCCACCAATGGTTTGAATTCCCCGCCTTTTCCCCCTGCCTTTTTCTGTTCATAACTGGAAGCTCCGGCCGCAAGTCGAAGCAAAATTTTGTGGCCTGAGTTTTTCGTAACTCGAAATTTTTATAAGTAGGGACGTTCGTAAGTCGAGGCCCCACTGTACAGGCACCCTACCCAAAACTTTGCTTTCCTGTTCCCAAAATCTCTGATGATTAAATATCAGTGCTGCATGGGAGGTTTGTATAGCTTTTCTGCCTAAGAGTGCCAGTTCTGTTGGACAGTTTTAAATTGGTTTGTCTCGTTCACTCATTTATGTTTCTCAAGTGTACAGTAAAACAGTACAGCAAGTGATAATATGCACATAGCAGATAAAATATGTCTATGGGACGCATAAATGAATAGTGGTGAAAATAACATTTTCTAACTTCAATGTTACCATTGAAATTGCTACTGTTAAATGAAGTCACAGTTGTGAAAGAGAACAAATGTCTGATGTCCCGTTACAATATTAAAAGCAAAAGACAAATAATCATTTTTCTGGCTGTATGGTTTTTCAGAGAATCAAAATAATTCTACCTTGATTCACGAGGCACTTCATAATAGTTCAGTAGTTTAGGAATCTGGTTGCAGAGCCAGAAATTGGGAGTTTGATTCCCCACTATGCCTTCTTGACAGGGGCTGACCTCAATGATCTATAGGATCCCTTCCAGCTCTACAGTTCTAATATTATTTTTAGGGGAAGTAAAAGATTTGAAAATCTAATTGTTTCACACCATCACAGAAATGTTTCCTTTCTTTTCCTCAAGGAAAAAAAAAGATATTATAAGGTTTGGCTTATGCTTCCTGCTAAAAGCATACACCGAATTAATACTTATGATAGTCAAAGCCATGGTGCTGTGGCATTTTTACCACTTTTGTCTCTGTGTTGCCCACTTTATGGTGGTATTAATATTTTTTCACTCTCTTTTAAGAGGTATAGGTGCAGGCTGTAATACAAAGGAGGTTGTGGAGAGATTGAGATACCTTGAAGCAGAAATTGAAGACCTAGAGCTAAAAGAAAAGGAACTGGATCAGCAGAAATTGTGGTTACAGCAAAGCATAAAAAATGTTAAAGAAGATTCCACAAATAAGCAATATCCTTTAGAACAGACTGAGTAATTCTTGAGAACTGAATTACCACAGCGCTATTTTATTGTGGTGTTAGGTTTATGTTGTTTAGGTCAGGTGTTTCTTTAATAATTTTTTTTTTAAAAGGAAGTATGTAAAGGAAAACTGATTTCCAGTATTGGATGCCTGGATGAGTTCAGTCAATCAGGAATAACATGATAACTGTCCAGGAATACAGTATGTCTAAATAAGATATGTAAAAGTGGTTGGGAATGTATTTTTTCCGTGTGGTGTTAGGTTTATGTTGTTTAGGTCAGGTGTTTCTTTAATAATTTTTTTTTTAAAAGGAAGTATGTAAAGGAAAACTGATTTCCAGTATTGGATGCCTGGATGAGTTCAGTCAATCAGGAATAACATGATAACTGTCCAGGAATACAGTATGTCTAAATAAGATATGTAAAAGTGGTTGGGAATGTATTTTTTCCGTGGAGGAGCCACATTCCTCTCCCTTTCTCTACCTCACATTCCCTACTCTGTCTTTCCTGATTAGAGAGTTGTTAGATTGATCTTGCTAGAGTTTGGAGTTGGTCACCTATGCTGACACTTGCTTGGAGCAGTGGTGCTGCCAGTTGCCCATCCCTGCTTTAAAGGTTTAATGCCAGTATTCTTTGCTGTGACTTGTTCCAACATTCTCTGATAAATTTTTAAATATCCCTACGTTTCCCATAAACACTTATTTACAAGCAGTATTAGAGATGAAAAAATGAGTACAGCTACTGAACACAAGGAATTTCTTTTAGAAAGGCTGTTGAAGAATTGTCTTTTTTTAACTAGACTTGAAACCAATGCTTTAAAAAGTGCTTGAGTTTGAATTTTCAAGTGCCGATAATATAATTTGACACAGAGAGTGGGAGAAAATCGTAATCGAGTAACTTTACTATGTAAAGAAACTCAAAAAAAAGGTTATATTAAATGTCCAGTGGTAGGTAATTTCTCAGTTAAATCAGCCAATAATTGTTCTCTGTGTGCTGGTGGTAACAAGAATGGGCTGCAGGATATATGAGGAATTGATAAAAGCAGAAACATTTCTCATTCACAGAAGGGCACTTTTCCTTGAGACTTCTCTCCAAGTCAGAATATATAAGTAATAACTTTATATCTGTTTCTATCCCATTTATAAAATGAGAGAAAATATTATTTTGACTACAAATACACTTCTTGTTTCTTAGCACTTACTGGTGCAGGGGGGCAGACTCAAGGGTCATGTCTAAAAGTTAGGAGGAAGGGGATTAATAACAACAATACAGTTTAATAGTTTATTTCATTCTGTGGTCTAGCATATGTCTAGCAAAGATTGAAAGAAGGCTACTCAAATACAAAAAAACCTCTTGGAAATATCACAAGTCTGTTGCCTTACAAGCATATTTTGAAGAAAATCCTTGACATATGGCACTTTTTCATACATCACTCATGAAGACATTTGTGACTGCTTCAATGGTAAGTTGATGAGTTTATTTCGTTGCAAATTTCCTGAGAGGACACCTTAGTTATATTTACTGCATGTCCTGCAGGTTGTAATGTTAGTGCCAATAGCATAGCAATTTAGTGGCTGATTAAAAGAAAGAGCTACCCCCCCCCCGAACTGGTTCTGATTTTCAAATGTAAAAAGATGCCTGTTTTACAATCACTGCTCTTATCTTCAGGAGCCTTTTAGAAGATAGGATTCTACCAGTCAAAATGCTGCATACTGCTGCTTTAAGCAGAACTAGATGCACCAGATTGAACGTGTGATACTAGACTGAATATGGGAGATTTGGCTTCTGAGCAAACATGTTAAGGAGAAGAAACCAGTACCAGATGAAGATTAATATTAAGATGGATTTGCGGTAAGGGGTGGATGGGCCTGTTAGAACACAAAGAAGTGAAATGGCCAAATTTGGAACAAGTAGCCTCTCTCACCATTAAAACATAACTTGTATTTAAGGACTCTATGGTGTTGACAGTAGCCAGGGCCTTTTCTTAAATATGATAGATTCTATCTAACCTTGTTCAGGAATTATTAACTCTGAGTAAACCAAGTAACAATGTGGGGATTCTGCTACCCCTACTTCCCTCATTATGTGTAGGCATCCTTCAGTCTCAAGAGACTATGGTAACATGCTCTGAATAGAGGTCTTAGAACAGCATCTAGTGTGGCTGAGAAGGCCAATTTGAGAGTGACAATCCCTAGTATTACGATCACACAGTTATCAGGGTGCTGATTGCTATACCGATCACTCCCTGGTGTGTAGCAGAGTATTTTCACAGCTTTTTACACGCATACGGCATGTGCTAAGGAAAATAAACTTTCTATGCATGGAAGCTTTTCATGTGATCTGAAAACTAGTAGTAATATTGCCTGGATTGGACTTTTGTCAAGCACGTGAAAATGACAGGATTTCCAGCTGATGATGAAACTCTGTTCTGAATTGATTGTGTATCATTCAAAAATGTGTACAAATGGATTTAACTGATGTTTGACATTTGCTTCATAATCAGGAGACACACTACTAGCAATTCAGGCACCTGCTGGGACACAATTGGAAGTTCCCTTACCTCATGTGGTATGTATGAACATCTGTTTTCATCTAATTAATTGGCAAAAAGTACACAACGTTGGCCCCAAGCAGTGCCTGTGTTATAATTTGTACGCGTGTGGCAGAGGGAGTATTTGAATAATTTGTTTCCTTAATAATAAAGATAGGAATATTATCTAGCTTGTTTTATAATGCTTACTCTTTTTGTATGTCTCAGAAACTGGAAAACAATTATTGTGGAACTTACTGGTTTGTTATTGCTAGAAACACTTAAAAATGACCATATTGGTTGTTTTAGAAAAAAATATTGTTGGGTCATTTTAAAATAATGTTCAGTAGTACAGTAATTGCCATTTAACTAGCTTGGCTTGTTTTATAATGCTTACTCTTTTTGTATGTCTCAGAAATTGGAAAACAATTATTGTGGAACTTACTGGTTTATTGCTAGAAACACTTAAAAATGACCCTATTGGTTGTTTTAGAAAAAAGTATTGTTGGGTCATTTTTAAATAATGTTCAGTAGTACAGTAATTGCCATTTAATTGGAAGAGACATAAAATGTAGTGTTTTATTGTAGGTGGCAGAAGGAAATTGACAGTAAGTTGGAGCCAGACTTAGTCATGCTGACACAACACTTAAAAATGACCATATTGGTTGTTTTAGAAAAAAATATTGTTGGGTCATTTTAAAATAATGTTCAGTAGTACAGTAATTGCCATTTAATTGGAAGAGACATAAAATGTAGTGTTTTATTGTAGGTGGCAGAAGGAAATTGACAGTAAGTTGGAGCCAGACGTAGTCATGCTGACACTGAAATTTATTGTTTGTATGAGAATATTGTCCTTAAACTTTTTCCAGTCCTTGCACTTTTGTCTGCGTCTTATAGAGCGAAAAATACGGTATTGTTTGTATGAGAATATTGTCCTTCTTAAACTTTTTTCCAGTCCTTGCACTTTGTCTGTCACTTATTACATCAATTCAGAGTAATGAAAATTTTGTTTCTCGTGTACCTTTCTCCCACTCTGTTCTTCCATGCACTTCCAAGACTTGGAGGCACTAGGAAAAGTAGATTGCCAAATTCAGTCTTTGTACATTGATACAATGTAGTGGCCTTTTAGGCCAGATGGGCGGGGTATAAATCAAATCAAATCAAATCAAATCAATCAATCAATCAGTCAATCAATAGAGAAACACAGCAGGAAAGTTGTATATTGGAAAGAAGCCAGTTGAGCAGCTGCATGGGAAAAAACTGCCACCAGGCTGGTTCTCCACTTAAGAACAGTAGAATATCTAGTTTTTGACTGCAGCCATATCTGGCTTAACTGGTGGTTCTACTTCTGTAAAAAGATTGTAACTTTGCTTTCTAATTGTGCTGTATTTCTAAAGGGACAAAAGAAATACCAGATTAATCTAAAGAGTAATTCAGGACCTATCCATGTGCTGCTCATAAATAAAGAATCCGGTTCCTCCAAGCCAGTCGTATTTCCAGTACCACCACCAGATGACCTTCTGCAACCTCAGTCACAACCTGCAGTTCTATTGACTCCTCCTAAACACAGTGTAGATCCCCAGAGGTTACAAGAATCTGGAGACCCTGCTCAGGAACAATCTCTTCCACAGACAGCAGTCACAGGTACACCAACAGGTGGGTGCAGAAAATCCTTCCCCTCAGAGGAATTATTTGGGAAAACATAAATTCAGTAATACGCAGTGATCAGTACTTGGATTTTCTCATTATCCTGTAACAGGACTTGACTCTGCCCATTATGCCTCTCACTCATTCCATCCTGAGATTCTGTAAGTTGTGTAATTATAACCTGGTAACCAGGTGTGATGTCTAGTGGAATGATGCAGAAACAAAGTCTGAGGCTGTAAGCGTGCACTTTCTATCACAACCTTCCTTGCCAAGACCTGAAATAACAATTGCAGATGCAATGAATTCCCTTTCCTAAACGCACCTCTTCCCCTGTGGTAGCTACCTGTAAGCAGAAAGGAGGACATTAACATCTCATGTGATTTCTCCTTGGATCTAATCACAGACCTTCTGCATTTTCCATCTCAAATGAGTAACAGGTGAGATGGAGGTTGCAGTACACTACTGCCACAAGTAAAGCACTGGGCAAAAGGAGCCCACTTCAGATTGTTGGAATACAATCATAAAAATCTTGGTCGTGGCTTTCCCACTTAAGACAAATGAAAATCCAGGGTTATCTAGAAATGTATCATTTTCAGTGCTGGTCTCTTTTGTGACAGCCAGCACAGAATGCCATGCATATTCTGAATGAATGAGCTAGTGATTATTTAAATGCAGGCAGTGTCAAGTGACTCTTGTTAAATCTAACATTACTGAAATACTAAGAATCTTCAACATATGTTATTGAGATTGTCACTGCTGGAAGCAACTGCATGTTAGTATTAACTGCAGTTACTAGTACTGGTTATTTCTAAACTGTACTGCTGCAACACACTTCATATGGAGGTGCTGTTAGAGACGGTTCAGAAGCTCTAGCTGGTGCAAAACGTGATTCAGACACTGGTTGGATCTAGAAATCTGCTGAGAACTATCGGTGGGCATCTACTTCATTACTGCGCAAACAGACTGTTAGAGTAGATAGGCCTTTGCAGTGATCCAGTGTGATTGGTAAGGAAAGTCCTCTGATTTTGCTAGAGCTGCTAGTAAAGTTTTCAGGTCCAACTCATCATGTGCTCTTGCTGTCCTAAACAGCTTTGGACAATATTATATGAATGACCACCCTCATCAAGTCTTGCCTGTGTGTTTATATTGACCTTAGTAGACCTTCCAACTGATTCCCACTAAGTTTGGATAGGTTGATTTCTAGCCCTATTTTTTGGCCATGTTGTACGTAAGAGCTCATGCTGTATCAGTTTCAAGTCTATACTTCTGAACCAGCATGTTGGTTTTTAACATTAACTTTTATGTTGTTCCAGACATCAGCTTACAAGAGATCTCCGCTCCAGAAACCCTTTATGACAGCATTTCAGATTCTGAGCTGTATGACAGCCTTGTGACTGAAACCACACCTAGTTCAAATACTTGCCAGTACCTTCCACTGGATGTTAATAGTATTCTCAAGCCCAACACATTTGACATAGCAAAGATGGATGAGCCTGGAGGTAAAAAAATATCTTTTTTTTTTACTTTGAGGAAGGGTATGTTATTATCCTTACATATGTAAAACAGAAAAAGGGAGGGAGGCCAGTACTGTTCTTTTAATATTTAGCTGCTGGATGAACCTTTGAGGGTCTTTGCACTGCTTGTATATATATTTAAATGCACTGCCTCATAGTGCTCAAAGCAGTCTCTGGGCGGGTTACAGTTTAATTATGCAGGCTACGCACACACATACACACCCGAGCAAGCCGGGTAATCAATTTTCAGAAGAATAGAAGGCTGAGTGAACCTCAAGCTGGCTATCTGGCATTGAGCCTGGGTTGTGAGCAGTTTTAACCACTGTGCCATGAGGCTTCTGTAACTTACTTGAAGATTCTTTTGTACCCTGTACCTTGTAAGCTGAGAACAAACTGTCAACAGTGAAGCGGTTCTTTGTGGCCTCATCAAAAAACAGCACTCAAAATTATTTGAAGTAAAGAATTTTCAGGATCTTTAAGTAATTGCTGCCAGCTTAAATATTTACTGCATTAACTGCATGAGTGTGTTACCTGTGTGAGCGACATAATTTCCTCTCATTTGTAAGCTAACATTATCTAAATATGCAAATATACCATTGTCTTTACAGGCATAATTAACAGTGATATCATTGATGAATTGATGTCTTCTGATGGTAAGTTTCTTATATTTGGTCTTGTTGCACAGTAAAGTTTACCTGATTTAGATTTAATATTTTTGGTTGAAATGAGAATGGTTTGGGTTCAGCATCTGCTTTCTGCAGGCTGGGGTACTCTAATTGTGAATCCGCCCTGCCCCCCGTGCACGCACACACACAACGCTTACTCATTGAGCAAAATCTCCCAACCCCTATGTAGCATTCCCAGAAAACTATAAAGGAGGGGCAGAGAAGTTAGTTTTCAGCAGTCTACTTGCACAGGCCAAAACCTGAATCCATCCCAGTGTACAGAGCCTCCAGGTACAAAGATTAAAAAACAGCAACTACTTGTGGTGGGTATTTTCTGATCGCAGTAAAAATTCCAGTGTCGGCGGGGCAGGGGGGGGGGGACTTGCATCCTTAACTTTTCACTTTAGAACCATGTTTCCCAAGCTGGTGACTTGCTGGCTGGCAATGATGGGCGGTGTGTTTCTGGCAATCACCAGTTTGAAAGAGTCCTCTTTAGAAGTATACTCGCTCTTTCACAACATTCCAGAATTTCAGTTCTTCTGTGGAAAATGATCTGGCCATCTGCATGGGGGCACACAAGTGCTTTATAAGTGGGAATGTTCTTGGTCTTCAACACCTCTTTTCCTCTAATAATGTAGTAATTCCATCAGAGATTCTAGCTGTCTTTTCCAAATTTCTGAACTGATTTCGACCTTTGCACCTGGAGGATGAAAACCAAACATTTTTACACATGTTACATAGTGTGTGTTACAACCTGTTTTATTAGTATAAATTTACATGAACAACCAGCATTAAACACTTAGCATGCTATGGCTTCTCATATTTCATATTGCAAAACTACTAGGTTGCTACTCCTATGTGTTGACCTGAGAGTATTATACCTAAAGTGAACCTTGCAGAAAATGAAATTTTCGGTTGGGGATCAAAGTGAAGTACACTACCTCAAATGTAACAGTAGTGTCAGTTAGAGGTGTCCTGAAGCTTATTTGTAGTGCAAAGGAGCACAAACATCAGCTCCTTCTTGAGACTACTCGTGTGTAACCATCTCATTCTATCAAAGAATAATTAATTGTATTACAAGACATTTATTTCATCTTGCTGATTCATTTGAGATTAGCTCTGCAATTCAAAATAAAGGCACAATGAGAACCAAAGAAAAACACTGATAGATGGGTAGATCAAGGAAAGTCACATTAGCTCATGAACTCTGCAGCCTTATTGAGTGGTTAATATTAAGCAGTAGCATGCACTTGGGGGAACGCTCTAGCCTCACCCTCATCTGTTTCCAGTGTTGTCATTCTGAAAATATGGAGGACTGTTCCTGCTATCCACCGGGACTTTCCACATGAACTGCAAACCCTGAAGATGAGGCTGTAGATTCATGTGGAGAATCCCCGTGGATAGTGGAAGGCTCCCCTATTCAGATAGGTTGCCCCTCATACATTCAGGGTGGTGGAAGTGATAACTGCGGTGGCGGGGCTAGAGCACTTTCTCGAAGGTGTGGTGAGTATTCTCTAACATTCCTCCTTATATTTTCTGCAGAGGACTGCAGCTCAACAATAGTCAGAAAGTAGTTTAGAATCTACCGGCAAATCTCCTAGTGACTTGCAGTAGATTGGGAAGAGTTTCTGACTTTGAACTAATAGTAGCAACAAGCACATTTTTCCCTACCCAAAGCATACTGTTAAGTTTGCAGTATTCAGAAGGCTGGGAACTTAAATCAATGTTACTTACAATGAATTCTTAAAATGTGCTCAGAGGCACCATTTTCAAAGCACATGACCTTTGTACCTGGCTCTGGTTGATCTTGGGGCTCTAGTTAAAGGAAACAAAGTATATCCAACAAGCCTGAAGTCTTGCCACACCTTTTGTAGATGAATGACCTCTAATTAAGGAACTTCTTTTCTGCAGTTTTTCCCCTCCTACGATTATCTCCTACCCCTGGAGATGACTACAGCTTCAACCTGGATGATAATGAAGGAGTTTGTGATCTCTTTGATGTGCAGATACTGAACTACTAGATTTGATGCAGCTGGATTGCTTCATCTACCTCTAACTATGTAATGTTGTAGTGCTAATTTCATAATGCAAATATTTAAAATAATGAATGTAAATCTTTGTAATTTACCAACACCGGGCATGCATCTTCCTCTTAGTTACTATGAACATTCTTCTAAACTTAATGAAATGGAAGGGGCCTCTTAGTGCAATGTAGCCAATATGGGAGTGGGAGGCAAGGGTTGACATTCAAATGTTACAGTAGCCGAAGTTACTTGAAAGCCGTGAATCTCTTTATTTGTTCTTTGGGAACCAAAGTTTCCTATTTTTCTCTGCTTTCACTAAAACTATATAAACATTATACTTCAGAAAAACTGTTGCACTGAATTTCAGATCTGGTAATTTGGGAACAGCCTATAGTCATTTGAAGATGCTGGCCATATGCCTAAAGCTTCCACTGCCAGATGTAAAATGAAGGGCATTGTCTAGATTTTGCTTCATTCTTCAGTGAACGAAGAATATATTTTCATGGAGTGCCTTCTTTATTAGCACTTTAAGTTTTCTTTTAAAAAAACTTGTGGCATTCCATCTTCCTAGTTTTAGGAAAGCACTATTTGTAGTTTGTATTAAAGAGTGCCAATACTTGTACATTAACAAATAAAATAAAAACTGTACAAACAACTGCTATTTGCTGACATACCGAAAGTGTGACATTGACACAATCTTGTCCTACAACTGGGACAGTAAGTTAGTAGCAGCATCCACGTTAGCTGGTTCATCTTCCAGGGGCCTGGGAATCTGGAAGGAAATATATACATATATATACTTTAGATATTGAAACTGTTAGAAAAGCTCGCTCTGAGCCCTGCCAGCCCTGGCCATGTCTGCTGAGACTCCTTCCTTCATCCCCAAATCCATGGATGACACCAAAGTAGTTCAAGACAAACTGGGTTTATTTGCAGCTGGGATCGGGGAGAAACAAACCACTTGTAACAACCTTCGGGAGAGTTCTCTGCTTTCCCCTCAGGTTTAAGTTCAAGTCTGAGGACAACTGCAGTTAGCAACATCAGGATGGCTTCAAGTTGTTTTACTCCTAGTGGCGTTCTCCACACTGACCAGCACCTCAAGGCCTGCAGCAGAGACGTTTTAGATACCTAGGGTACTGGTGACAGTCCCAGGTTCTCTCGTCTTCCTGTCTCTGTGGCCTGGCATTGGTGTTCCAGTTGCTTCTGTCTCCTCCAGCGTCATAGCTGGTTCACAGTTGGCCCTCCCAGCCCGGGGACAGTGCTTTTCTACCTGGTGTTTCCATTCTCAGTAATGAGGCTGTAGAGGTAGTTGAGGGTTAAGGTCACCTTCTACCTCATCATTTGGCATCCTCAACTGTACTGCAATCTAGGGGTCACTCGTGGGCTCCAGTTCTCCCTGGGGAGGGTCTTTCTTCACAAGGCCACCCTCATTAGGGTCCTCCAGGACAACCCCCTGGCTCCCTCTTCCTCTATCTCCCCCCAGCACATCTGGCTGGACCCCCTACTCCAGCCTGTTCTCCTGACACCTGCCCCTCTGCCTCCCTTATATTCGGCAACTCTCATGCTCCCTCTCCCCTCCAGGAAGCAGGGCCTCCTCTGGGGCCTCTGTCTTGGTTCCCCATTCTAGCATCTTGGGTTCTTCGCATATGGGTTTTCCTGGCACCCATTCTGTCCAGAGGCAGTCTCAGGTCCACTGGGGACCTGTCTCACGAGGGAGAAGGTGAGACAGCCCACCCCTAGGAGTGTCTGTGCCACTGTTGCCCTCCTTACACCCTCACATTTGAAAGACATCTAGCCCAGTGCACATCTGTCAGAAACAAAAAGTCTTGTTTCTCAAGACACCTGATTGAACACCGAAGCCTAAATATAATGTATCCTAAGGAATTCTGCTTACTATGTTTTTGCTGTTTTACTCTAGCTATTTTACTTGCCAAGCATGCAAGCAATATATATTGCTTATTATCAAATCAGCAGGGACCTTTCCCTGCCCCCAGCAAAAGAAGTGTTTGATGTTTAATTTCCCCTGTAGTGTTTTAATTTTCCCCTGTAACAATACTGTGCACAAGTTTTCACACTTTTAGCTAATTTAAAGAATGAGATCAGTATTGCATGTTTTAAAAAATTCAGGTGAGTTGTTTTTTCAGATGACAGAGGCTTCATAAAAACAATTACCTGGTGCTTCTTTGAAGAGTCTGAAGAAATAGGTTTGGATAACTGCTTAACTTCTTTCTGTACTTCTGAAAATACCTTATTTACCATGTTAACCTTCTCATTATTCACAATATTGATCTTTGGAAAAAGAAAAAAAATGAATTCTTTATATTTCAAGAAAAAGTAAGGTATTCTCTGTGTAATAGCTGTAATAACTTATTATGAACAAGACATGTCCTAAAATCACGATGAATATAGAATATTCATAATTTAGTCTATTACACTTATATATTCCAAAAAGTTTTCAAGAAAAAGTGTGAATGATCAAAATAAGCATTCTCAGGAACAACTTAGGTTGTTTATTCATTTCTCAGAATCAGAGTTAATACTTTTGATTGCTGAAAGCCATATTAATCAGCAGACGTCCCACCACCCTGGTAAATCTTTTGTATCACACATGCAAGGAAGGGTTTTTGAAACTGAAATGCCCACATCCACTGTGCACACAGAACTCCAGTACTGCACATATACTTTTTGACAGCTGACACTGCCATTAGGGTTAGTGAATGTTAGGAAGGTAGGATTGACAGCTGACACTGCCATTAGGGTTAGCGAATGTTAGGAAGGTAGGAAGATTGGCACACATTGTCAACCAAGCAAACAAATAATGGTTTTATACCCCCAAGAAAGGGTGAGAGCGTTTTTCTCTACTCTTGAAAGCAGAAGGTAAAAATTGGGCTCTATATATTGATCACTATGTATGGATGTGAAAGCTGGACAGTTAAGAAAGCTGACAGGAAAATATTTGATTACTGAAGGAGAGCTTCTTTCTGGACTGCCAGAAAGACAAACAAGTGGGTCCTACATCAAATCAAGCCTAAAATATTTCTGGGGGGCACAAATGATAAAACTGAGTCTGTCCTGCTTTGGGCACATCATGAGAAGGCAAGAGTCTTTGGAAAAGATAATAATGCTGGGGAAAGTGGAAGAGAGCAGGAAAAAAAGAAGACAAAATATGAGATGGACTGACATCCTAAAGTAGCCCACAGGCTTAAGTTTACAAGACTTCAGCACCAAATATGAGATGGACTGACTTCCTAAAGTAGCCCACAGGTGGGCAGTTGAAGACAAGAAATTCTGGAGATCATTCATTCCTTGAGTTGCCATAAGTCGGAGGAAGCTTCACAGGACATAGCAACACATCTAAACACCACAAGGAGCCCTGCATTAGCAGAATTCTTGAATGCATGTATAGATCGGGCATAAAATTGGACACTGCAAATTTCTGTGGCTGACATTCTCCAGCTATTGCATGTGCCATAGTTAAAACCGGTTAGTTTAACTTGCAGGGGATAATCACGTAAGAGTCCATTAATATATTAAGATCAAAAATCCAAAGTAACATGAAGAGAGAAAAAAAGTCTTAATATTTACCTTTTTAAGACTAGTTGTCACTGGTTTGGCTTTACTTTTAGCCTTCATTATTTTTTTGTTGGCCACATGGAATACATTTATCTGTTTCTGACCTTTTGCCTTATTTTTGCCCATTGTCTAGAATACAACAAAAAATGAAGTGTCATTTGTTTTAACTATGTACAGTTATTTTTAGGAATTCAGCGGCATGTTTTGTTGCATAAGTAAACACTAATATTAAAGAACATTTAAAAGCTTTCCCATAAATAAGATCACAATCTTACATTTATTTTGGAGTAGGTCCCTTTGAGAAAGTGGGTCGTATTTCTAAATAAAGATGTATCAAATTGACCCAGATGCCCAGTTCCCAGATCTCTTTGGATCAAACTAGAAGACAGTGGACAAAGTGGGAAGCGTTGATTCTTGACTGGTAACTGGCAGGTAAACATGAGTATAATTTGCATGTCTGATTAGCAAGGCCACTTTGATTCATGGTTGAGATTAGAAGAACCAGTGATCCATTAATCCCACCACCAGAAGATACATAGTTTTACAAGCTTTAATTTTCTCAGTTCCTCGTTCCTGACATCCCCCATCACCTACCCAGCCAGGAAAGAATGCCGGCCTAAACAAAACCGGGAGCACTATTCTTGGGAACACAGACACACTGCAATATCACCTACATTTGTTAGTTAAGTCACATTTATATCTGGCTTTTACACAGTCAGGTCAGGCTAGCCTACAAACCTCTCTTTCTTCCTGCTGTAGCTTCACAATATCTATGTTCTGTATAGTATAATGCTCTTATGTTTGATGAAGTGAGCTTGTCCACAAAAGCTCACATTAAAAAAATATAAAAGTTAGTCTCTTAAGGTGCCACCATGTTTTTGTCTGCACACTCAAAACTTTGGATAGACTGGAAGGAAAGGATCAGCCCAAGATTACTGGTAGATTTAATGGCTCGGTAGGTTTTTACAACCTGGATATCTTCTCAGTCCAGTACCCACCATTACACTGCACTGGCTCTCTTCTTTGCTCCCAAAAAGACTCTCTCATCACTTGAAGTAAGCCACTCACTGCCAGTTTTAGTAAGATGCAAACATAAGAGGGCAGCCGAGACCGCTGAGGATACAAAGTTTAGGAAAAAATGTTTTTGGAATAACAACGACGACATATCCGACATCTCCAACAGTTACGTGAGAGTGTTAGTCCAAAAAAGTAACTTTTCTGAATTCTTCCAAAATTGTGCAAGATATAAAACAATCTTTACGTAACTGCCCTCGTGTAAGAACCAGCTGGTTTCCCAACCGAGACAGACGGAGCTGTTAGTTCTCAGCTAAGCCAGTGGGAAAGTCTTGCTTCCCACTTCTTCCTCTGCAGGATCGGATGGAATTAAGTCTTCCATGTCCCGCATGTACTAAAATACACCCAGCATGTTGGTAAAAGAAAACGGGGGGGGGGAGAGACAAAATATTGTGACACGTTTTCCTTCTCTTTTGCCAACACGCTGAGACAAACGAACACGGCTCCTCCTTTGGAAACGGCTATTACACAAACGATGCGCACACACTGGCTTACGTTCTCTGCAATCTGATGGTGGCCTGGATCCTGATTCCCTCTCCCTCCACTCCCTCGCACAGCTCCAGCGCCAGCACAGCTCCACTTACAACGCACCCGGGACCCGACGGTTCCCCGCCACCACGTGCCGCTGCGCAGGCCTCCCTTCGTCATCCGCCTGCGCCCGCCCAGCTCTACCCGGAAGCGGGCGGCGCGGTCCTGCCCGCCCTTTCGCGAAGGGCGGGTGGGCCGGACGGGTTTAGGCACGGGTTGGTGACAGTG